GGAGTTTGAGAGATATCGGATGTGTGAATACGACCCCCAAACAGACCTAAATCGATTCGTGAATCGTATATTGGTGGTGATGAGTTTTTAACGACTTTATTACGGCTGTGAAATCTCTGCCGACTGATTTTTCGACCAAAATATCGAGTGCAACTCCTTCAAGTCGAATATCCATCAAAAAAAATTTAATCCCACCTTTTGTCGTGACTGAACCTCGGATCTGGGAGAATATTTCACTCCCGGGCTCGTAGAGGGCACCACTGACAGGTGTTCAGCATTCGTCCTCCCACATTCAATGACTTGTTTGTTTCTTTGCAAAATCCAGACTCGAAGAAGATCTCGGGAATGTATGGCCGGCTGGAAAGGAGATAGTCCTTGACCCTTGCGGATATACGTTATTACTCAAGGCCGGACCGTCCAGTTGGGAAGAGAAGAGAAGCCTTGGAAGCTTGGGTGGTGTTTTGTTGTTCTACGAGTTAGGTCTATGGATACCCAGGGTTCTTGGATTAGTACCACACCAGCCCCATAGTTGGAGGTAAGTTCTAGGGCGGCATCGTGGGCAGGGCCACGTCTACCTACATTCATCTGAAAGAAGCAAAAACTTGTAGTCTTGTTAGACACTGAGGGTCAAATGAAAAATGTAAAGTAAACTTGTATTGATGAAATCTCTCCTCCTCAACTCCTCTCCGGCATTGATGCTATATACCCATCTGAAACTATTTCGGTGAGAGATTATCTTCTCCTCGTTTCCCAAAATTACATATGAAATATATTACTTGTGTTGAAGATCAAAAGATCTCAAGTTGGAGCTTTGAATATCCTGACTATCCTGAACATCCTAATCACCATGTCCCTCGTGTGATATCAAAGCTCGAGTAAGTTAATCCGAGAAAATGTGTCATGCCAATATCCAATAACTCTCATTACTATATTCAGTATGTTCAGTATGTTCCAAACTATCAGATGTTTGACAGGAGTACTTGTGGGCGCTGAGGCTATTATTTCGGATAGTGCTACCGACATTTTAATAATAGGCAACGACGGTGTTATAATAGAGGTTGGGTAGAGAGGCTTGAGCTATTAGACTTATGTTTAATATCACCTAGTGAAGCAAGATAGGAGATTGAAGAGTCTGAAAATTGTAGTGGAGAGTTGATGATTAAACCCACTTAGTATCAGAGCGCTCTTTAAACTAATTACTACAGCTAAGTGAAGGACACAATTCACTTGTCTATGCTAAATAATTGGGAGGCTGGTCAATGTATGAGTCACCATGAATGTGGCTAGTAATACTCGAACCTTATTGGGTTTCATGTCGATGCAAGTCTTCATTACCAAGTAGCACCAATTTCAACAGATGGGCGGTGTTACGGTCCGCCTCCTAGTCGTCATCTCCACGAATTAAGCTCTGGATAGCCTGGATATCTACCTCACTTGAGAGAGGGAAGACTGTGAGGCCATATCTCGCGCGGTGGCTATACACAAGATGGCAAGGGCATGCTAGGGTAGCTAAAGGTATCACCTGTTTTCCCTTTGGTAGATATTAACGGTTGAGGCAAGATTGAAAGTACTTAGCACAAAGGTCTCGAGTGGTATCAGCGAATGCACCTACTACGGGAGCAGTCCAAATTTCAAACTGAGTTATCGTCATATACAGTCGTCAGGGAAGGACAAGCATTCTCCGTGATGCATTATAAATGCTAGGCTTGTTCCCGTCACGACTACATATTCATCCGTTTATCCACCTCTCGGCACAGGCTCCTAGCACCATTATCATAAGGCTAACCACAATCAAATCAAATGGTAGGGTCGAAGCCCCATTCATTATCTGCTTAGTTTTTTCTTTCTCATTCGGTGCGGACGAAAACATCCGATGGGTTTCTGGAGAATACCCAGCGATTGGTATGGCGTCGATGAATAATATGTAGTTGGCCTGTTCAATGACGAGGGTCTTGTCTTGTTCATTAATGTGCTAGGTATAGTGATTCCCGTTGCACTCCTACTGGAGCTTAAGCACGGGTGGTGCCGGGCCGGATCAGGTTAACTACCATGAAGTACATCTAGCTCGTCCCACCTAAATGACCGGACCACCTCAGACTTCATCCATGTGTTGAATCATGTCAAGCCCAACCGTCCAGAGAACCCTCTTTTGACGCGCCGAAGCGCAATTTCCTCCTCAGTCTCGGCCACCACGCGCCCGAGCCCTTGACACCTTCGCTATCTGTAATTTTTTCCTTCGAATCATTCCCAGCTTTAGCTCATCTCAGCATCTCTTCATCTCATCTAGGGGTCGTTTTCTGCACTGGAGGCCTCATCCAGTCGCCCACCAAGGCCTCCTCAGTTTTTATTCCCTTTTGTGCCTTCATGCAGCATCACTCTGTCCTTCAGCCGATCTTGTCATCCCGAAACTTTTTTGAATGTCTACCCCTCTGGTCTTGCACCGTCGCTGCCGTATCCCTAACCTTGGAGGTCGAAAATGCGACTGAGAGCTCAAGAACGAGGCACCGGTGCCCCAGCCTTTGTCGAATGCTCTAGTTGGTGTGCCGGCGAAATGTCGTACGTATTTCGTCGGTGGCGATTCGTCGCAAGTCGAGTTGTTGGTGCCCTTGGCGGAGGTGAGGACGCATCTAAGGCCGGTATTTCGACCGTACCTTCATAGCGACTGGCAGTTGCGTAGAATCGGACATCCTCTTGCTTCTTTGTTGGCGATTTGGCTTTTGGAGGTGTGGGATTGCTTCGGTGGATGGTGAGATGATTGTGGAGAGGGCCGCAAGATGAGTTTGGCTGAGAATGAATTTCCAGAAAATAAGACCTTGAAGGTGTCGGTCCTTGTGATGCGTACATCAGACAGGTTATAGCCTGTCTACGGCTTGTATCTGGGGTGTAGATGGTTGATTTTGTTGAGCTATGCAGTCGTGAAATCTCTGCGAGTCGGATTTTCGACCAAAAATGAGCCAACACCGCTCCTCCTGATCGTCAACTCGATGAAAACTCTCAAATCAACCCTTTTTCGTGACTGAATCTCGGATCCGGGAGAATATTTCACTCCCAGGTTCGTAGAGGACACCACTGACAGGTGTTCAGCCTTCGTCCTCCTCAATTACGAGGGTGGTATATATGTAGGTAACGCCACTAGTGTGGTCCCAGTGTCTAGGCTTCACATGGCTTGGGCTACAGGATCATTTAACTTTTTCCAGCACACGCAGTTTTCATTGCTACCATTTTTTGGGGGGGGGGGGGGGTTAGAAGGTTCCGTGGAAAAGGTGGCCAAACTCCACGGGTAAATATTGAGCTAAATGGCCATTCATCAAGGACAATATATCAATAATCTTACAAGTAACACAAGAGGATAGGAGCACTGTACAAGGTATGGCCTGGGCCAGCGAGGAGCCCAATGAGCTAGATAATGTAAGACTCAGGTAGAACAATAAACAAACTTCTCTCTCTCTCCGTCATGGAGCTTGTAATACCAAATCTATAAAATTTTGAGACATGAACTGAGAACGAACGGCCTCACAAGATTGTCTGTCACTGCACGATCTCTTCCCAAAATATGAGACTTGCTTTATATTCAATGCCTGCATAACTGAACATAACTAGCACGTAAATCCCGCTCATGGCATATCTTCAGTTACCGGGCATATCCTTGAAAAATAAGCTGGGAACGCTTGCCCAAGATCATCTTACATTGCGTTTGCTACATTTTTGAGATAGATGTAGTTTTAGTGTACTTAGAAAGCTGAAAAAGCCTTCTACTCTCTGCAGCTAAAAACATAAAGTTACGATAACTTTTGAGAAAAGAATCATACCATGGATACGCTCTTATGCTGGCTTAATTCCGGTAGGTGATTACATCTACTGTGCTGCTATGGAAAGGCTTTTAAGTTTCCATCTCAAATTCATCAGGAATTGAATTTTGGACAACCATGGTCGTATTTCGGCCTATTAATGAGTCTACAGCTTGGTGATAATTTCACTGGTTAGAGAAATGTCCGTTTCCACTACAAGTCTGATAATATTTCATTATTTTACGAATAATCCATGCGTCGCTTGTAGTTATTCACGATACGCGAGTGCTCGCATTCTCGGGGTTGCATCTGGTAATTCATAATGGCTTACAATTATAATATTCCCTAGATAACGACGACTTCTTGTAAAAAGCTCAATCCAATCACTCAGAGATTTAGTAATTTAAGGGTCACCTGCACAATGTATTCATTCGCCTACTCACTTTCATCTTGCTGGAGGTGATTTTATTTTTGGAGAATAGAGCATAATCTGGTTGTAAAATAGAAAGTTGAGTACATTCATTTTAGGGCTTGAGGCCTCTTAGTGGTCACTTGCTTCTTGTCATGGAATAGTCCGTAAGATTAGAAATTCCAAGGAGGGATATTCACAGTGCTCTGAAATAAAACCAGCAGTGAGGAAAAGGAATCCCCTAGTGGCCGTTAGGGTTTCATGCGTCTGCGCGCGTTTTACTAGTCGCTCAGTTTCTTTAATTTTCTGCCGTCTTGGTTCGCCCTTAGGGCTGCTTATATAATCGCTTACTCGGCTAAGAACACACAGCATAACTTATAAATTCTGAACAAACAAATTCCAGAACAATCAAAGGCACTTCTAAAATCAACAGCAAGTACATCCCCAATGATCAAAGTGCTAATAAACTAACCAGGTTACAGTGCGTGCTAAATGGAGAAAGAAGCGTGTTCGTAGACTGAAGAAAAAGCGCCGCAAGACTCGTGCTAGATCGTAAGTTTACTTCCTCGTCTGATATGATCATCCACGTCATCTATCCATTCTGCTTAACTCTTATGTATGATCTCTAACTTACAAACAGCAAATAAACAAATTGAAAAACTCCGACAATTGTCATTCTTCTAGAGCCCTTACCAATGTGACAAAAGAGCATTCATGTTCAAATCAACTCCAGGCCCCACGCTTGCCTCAAATGCCCTCAGTGCATCAATTACCTAGTTTTCGCTGCTACACAACTAGTAAACATGAACAGGCCAGTTCGATCAAGATTAACATCGGATAAGCAGAGTAAGAACTTCGAAAGAAATATGACAGGACAAACAGACATCGGAAAGTTGATCAAAAGTTTGTCAAATATAACATCCTCAGATATTTACGCTAGTAACTTATCACGACTATCAAAGCAAATAAATTTCTAAATAACAAATTCCTCATAATTTTACTATGTGCCTTAAAATGAGTGATTAGCTCCTTCGGACTTTAATTCTATCTATAGTTGTTGACATGTCACCGTGCAAGAGTCGAAAAGTCCAACGAATTCACAGGCATCGTTTAAACAATGCTTGAAAATGAACATTGAAATTGAGAGATATTTTGAAGATTAATCACTAGGTAATGCTAAATCAAGGAATTCCATAATTTCATGATTCATATCTTTCACGAGACCCAAATATATTTTACCTTTGATCGTATCAAACATACAACGTATCATTTAAAATGATTACGATATTTAAGCTTAAACAAATTACTAAAATACCTCCCTAAATTGTCTGGTCACTTTTATTATGCTAGATAATGCAAAGCTTACACAGAGCGAATAACCCCCAACTACTTACCGAACTTGAAGCAAATACGATGCACAACAAAAGTATTTAAGAGTCTACTCGTTGCTCAGACTAAATCTAAACCAAAAAGAATTGCTTACCTAGCGACCTATTGTGGCTCGCCACGTTGCTAATTTCCAGTGCTCGAATCCAAACTAGCGTCATTATCAACTTTCTTTTGAACGTAGGGTAAAACTTAAGATCTAAGGAAGTTACGTAATGCTGTAAAATATATGTTCATGATATGTTAAGGCCTAAGTCAAAAGTGGCGCTATCCATCCTGATCAAGGCTCCGAATTTGTACCATTTCATGTATTAGCCAGAGCGTTTGTGACCTTATCATTAGATGTAGTTGAAGTAGCTGGCTCCATTAGAAAGAGAGTTTTTGACCATCTTCCAAAAGAAAGGTCGGTGTGAACCAGATAGTGGGAGGGTTTCCCTGAAGAGATGAACATGCATGAAATCCCTTGGTTCTTTTGCATCAGACTTTAATTGCGTATCCAGCTATCTAGCTATGACACATTGTCAAAGGAAAGTACGAATAGGCGATTCAATTTAAAGGAAGAGCACTCATGCCTCAGATTTCATTTGTAAGTACCTCCCAGATGGCTTTCAAACCTAGAGGAAAGACTAACGAGGATCAACCACACCATGAAACTGCCGCCAAAAAACGAATTGAAAATTTGCACCACCAACATTCCATGGGCTATTAAGGACTCAAATCTACAGCAGCACGGGGACTCAAGTGTAGCACTAGCCAATAAAACCATGTTGTCTATGTTGACAAACTATGTTTTAGATTTACGGGCCCTCTATTTCATCAAGGTTCCCGAGCCGGCAAAGACGAATTCTTCACCCTCCAGTGGTGCCGGTGTAATCGCTCAGTATGCTCTGTATATCTGGGATAGCCAAGAAGAATCGCTTCCGAATCGGAGTCGAAAGCAACCTCATGCACATCTCCATTTGAAGACTTCTCAATCATGCAGCACTCACCATTATCTTCTGAGTCCTCAACCCCGATCTAAACACATATCATCTCGCCTCGCCGACCGATAAAGGCCTCACCCCAATTGCAAACAGGAGCTTGCCTCATTCATCGCCGGCCATCACTCACTACAAATTTACGACGCTACGTATACCCGCAAGGAGGAAATTAAGTCATAATATACAACGTTGTGGTCTTGGATTACGGGGGACTGCTGCTCTAATGGGGTTATACATCTTGAGGAAGTACAGGCTGCTGAGATGTGGAGCGAGATGGGAATGAGGTCTCTGGAGACCGTGTTGGAACTGACATTTTCGAGGAGTTTTCAACTTTGGATTTTTTGTGGGCGCCAAGACTAAGATTTCGGCTAATTAGCCAGGAGGGCTTCTTTTGTCGATGAGTCAACGGCACTTCCCAGCGCCCTGGACGGTACAAAAGAAGCTAGGCTAAGCTACTATACAGCAATCACGCTCTGTCAAGACTTTTCTGACATTTCAGCACGACCTTCCGGAAGGAGTTGGAAGGAGGCTAGAAAGGCAGAGTGTGAATTCTCCGAGGTACCCACAAGTCTGCAGCGCCCAGCTGGCCGGCCTTTTCGAACGCTTCAGAAGGGGCAATATGTCTTCGGATTTAGTCCTAATGTCGGTATTAGGAGAGCTCCACACCCAGTGGTTTTTGCGATTTTTCCCGGCTGCCATACACCCGCAAATGGCCATCGTTTCGTTGGCTGGAGAGGGGAGATAATGAAGGGCTAAGGGCTCCTCTTAGTGTATGATCGAATGAGGACTTGTGAGGGGTGGTACTGTTTGAGGGGAGCTGTATGGAAGGCATAGGAGGGGAATACTACTGGTATAGGTATTCTTGGCCTGTAGGCAGAGAAGACCTGCATGTCCTACATAGTCATAGACTCAGACAGGACAATAAAATCAATTAATAATATAAAATAATCAAGGTTCCCGATGCGATCTTGTGTACGTTACAGGTGTTGAAATAGGTAATACAGTAGTGATTCAAGCTACCCTGTGGATGCTTGAGCAGCTGCATAGTGTGAGCACAAGGAGTACATTGGGAGATTTCTATGCCTAGATGACGCCCTAACTGTTCATGATGTGGCTTACACTTGTGCTTATAGCACACATCTCCCAATCTTATAGAAGTTATCTGAACATGAAGCTCATCTAGCCAACTTTATAGGGCATGACCCTCATCATCTATTGGCAAAAATTAAGTACTACAATATACAAATTTACTATTAACTTTAAAGATATTTAGATAGTTTTAGCTGTCCTTCATAGTCATAGACTCAGTAGGGACATAAATAAAATTCTATTCTATTCTATCTAGCCTACTTCTTTTGTTTCGGTATTATTGCACCGACTCATTGCGCAATATTCTCAACAAATCATACAAAGCTTTAAAAAGGTACGAAGCTAATGCTTTGAGACTCTTACGCTTAGAGATGACTGATTCTAACGCCTGGCCCGCCACAATCGGAGTTCGTAAAATTATTTGATATAATACGTAAGGGAATCCGTGTTGTGATCAGACCCACTTTTAGATCACACAACTTGGAATGGCTAGTATTGGGCAATTGAACCAACAAGACAAGCGACCCTGCGTCAATGATACGTCATCGGCACACAGCAATGACAACACCAATATCTCAACCATACATGGTTATATGATAATATGACGCAGGTATATCTAATGACATAGTTGTTGAATGGCCGAATGGTTGGCAGTTATTGCTATTGATGGTATATTGTATGTATTGTCTTTATGTATAAATACTCGCTGCTAGACCTCTGTATATGATCAACCTTTTCCACTCTTATATTCAATAGTCATCAATATAGCAGATCTACAATATATATCTGTCTTCTTCACGTTGGACTTAAAGTGCTATCCTACATCCACCCAAGTTGACTGTTACACCTATTGTGACAATTCTTAGACTTCTCATAACCTCGTTATTACAATAATCCGGGCATTGAGTTGGGAAAATTTTGGACTACTGCCAAAAAAGCTTTTGGCTGTGCACCGGAAAGCTTCGCTATGCGAGCACAACGGACTACAATCAGATCTTATAGACACTAATGGACCGTTAAGGCTCAGCTGGCACGCTCGTAGTCAATGGGCGTCCAGCGTAATTTATCTTTTCCCACCGGATAGATACTATAAATCACAACTCTACTCAACATCTAGCTTCAAAACAGACTACCCTTGCATAACGGGGAAAATAATAACCCAAACATGAAATTTATCTCGTTAGCATAAGCGGACGCTCTTAGCATCAAGCTGGACGAAAGAATATTGCTGAACGCTGGGCTTTTTTAATGAGGAGGCTTTTCCCGAATAACATGGGCACTCGCATTCATTGACTTGTAAATAGGAGCTGCATAGAACAGCAAGCAAATATGTATCTTTACAAATAATTAAGGAAATTTTTTTTTTAATTCATTTTATTGTCCTGTCTGAGTCTATGACTATGTAGGACATGCAGGTCCTCTCTGCCTACAGGCCAAGGATACCTATACCAGTAGTATATCCCCTCCTATGCCTCCCATACAACTCCCCTCAAACAGTACCACCCCTCACAAGTCCTCATTCGATCATACACTAAGAGGAGCCCTTAACCATTCATTATCTCCCCTCTCCAGCCAACGAAACGATGGCCATTTGCGGGTGTATGGCAGCCGGGAAAAATCGCAAAAACCACTGGGTGCGGGGCTCTTCTAATACCGACATTAGGAATAAATCCGAAGACATATTGCCCCTTCTGAAGCGTTCGAAAAGGCCGGCCAGCTGGGCGCTGCAGACTTGTGGGTACCTCGGAGAATTCACACTCTGCCTTTCTAGCCTCCTTCCAACTCCTTCCGGAAGGTCGTGCTGAAATGTCAGAAAAGTCTTGACAAAGCGTGATTGCTGTATAGTAGCTTAGCCTAGCTTCTTTTGTGCCGTCCAGGGCGCTGGGAAGTGCCGTTGACTCATCGACAAAAGAAGCCCTCCTGGCTAATTAGCCGAAATCTTAGTCTTGGCGCCCACAAAAAATCCAAAGTTGAAAACTCCTCGAAAATGTCAGTTCCAACACGGTCTCCAGAGACCTCATTCCCATCTCGCTCCACATCTCAGCAGCCTGTACTTCCTCAAGATGTATAACCCCATTAGAGCAGCAGTCCCCCGTAATCCAAGACCACAACGTTGTATATTATGACTTAATTTCCTCCTTGCGGGTATACGTAGCGTCGTAAATTTGTAGTGAGTGATGGCCGGCGATGAATGAGGCAAGCTCCTGTTTGCAATTGGGGTGAGGCCTTTATCGGTCGGCGAGGCGAGTTGATATATGGTTAGATCGGGGTTGAGGACTCAGAACATAATGATGAGTGCTGCATGGTTGAGAAGTCGTCAAATGGAGATATACATGTGTTTGCTTTCGACTTCGATTCGGATGCGATTCTTCTTGGCTATCCCAGATATGCAGAGCATACTGAGCGATTACACCGGCACCACTGGAAGGTGAAGAATTCGTCTTTGCCGGCAATTAAGGAAATAATGACCCTTGAGTCATTGAGATTGAGGAGTATATTCATTCAAATAACTTCCAAAGTGAAACTAAATATACGGTGTCCTCTAGGAACTTTGGAGTGAAATATTCCCCCAGTGCCAAGTTCAGTAAAATTTTGCAGTACCAAAGAAGTTGGCTCACGGGGCAATCATTCAAAATACTCCACCATGTCAAATTTTCACTCCCAATGAGTGCGACTCATACCTAAGTCTCATCAAGTCCACAAATACGACCTAGTACATCCTCACTCCAATGACCACATCTATCCTCGTCTTTCTCTGGCCTCAGCTGATCACTAAATACATGCCCACGCCGATATTTACATCCGACGGAGGAAACAAAGTGGGGCGCACAAACCTGGGAGATAATTTTTTGGGATGGGCGTGAGAGGGATTAGGACAAGTTCACAAGACGATGCAAAGGATGGATACAGTCTCGATGGGCGTGGAATTTGAATTTTAGCAAGGAGTTTTAACAAATTGAGCTTAGTGCGTGCCAAGGCTTTGGTTGCGAGATTGTAGGCGACACTACAAACACCGCCATTGTTGGATGGTACGGTGGTACATCGTCTTGTCCAGTCTACCAAATAGATTCTTGATAACTTGGACACATATCCCAATTGAGACTGGAGATCGTTGGTTCAAATCCGGCAAAACACAACCACTTTTCTCATGGCAGTGGTATGCATCGATGACGAAGACATGCTTAGATAATCAAATATTTTGAAATTCCCTTTAGTACTTAGGGAGAAGGGTCGACGGTTGGTGTAAGCGAACATACCTCATAGTGGTATTTGCGAATGAAATCTGAGGCATGAGTGCTCTTCCTTTATGTTAAATTATCTGTTATGTACTTTTCTTTGATAGTGTTTCGTAGCTAGACAGCTGTATACGCAATTAAAATCTGAAGCAAAAAAATATAGTTTTCGGAGTACTGGCGTATCTTCTTATGTAACCAGCATGGATTTGATTACGAAGACTCAATATGTATTAATAGCTTTCGTTGGATAGAGTAGAGAATCAAGCTTACATATATATACTTTTACCATCACCCAACTGAAGTCTAAATTGTCTCTTTACATCTTCTCTTCCAACTCTACTGGCTTGGAGGGCATCAAACATAAATAAGTTATGCGGCAAATTCACGTCCGTAACAACTTTAGAATGATAGGCTACTTCGCGGCAGTCAATCCCGACCACGACTTTTGATTTGTCCTGTGTTACGAATCAGGGGAGGTGTAAGGAAGTGAGGTGCCTTGGTATGCACACAAGTCTGCTTTGTCGAGCTAGCCGAACTCTTCAAATGCTTTGAAAGAGTAGCTATGCCTTTGGACTTAGCCCCAATATCGGTGTATGGAGAACCCCGCACCCAGTGGTTTCTGAGACTTTTACCTGCAGATACACGCTCGTAAATGGCTATCGTTTTGTTTATTAGAAGAGTGAGACAATGACAGGATAATGGCCCCTCTGCGTGTGTGAACTGGAATGAAGATCTATCAGGATATTACCGCTGGAAAAAAGACATCAAGCTGGCGTAGGAGGGAATAACTCACTTGGGACGTAGATACCACCGAACTTTAGGCAGAAAGGACTTACATGTCCTGGTATAGTCGTAGTATCAATGGCACAACAAACAAAGAAATAAATAAATACGTTATTTTGGACTTGCTAGGATGTTGTTCAGTAGTGTCCATTACAGGAGTGCCGGAATTCCACACTCTGGACCGAAGTATAACTACAATTACACTCGCAGATTTAATTGATAGCAATATATCTTGCAAAATTCTGAATCTCAAATCGTTGCTAGATTGCAGTGTCTATTATGCTGGAGGGATTGACTCTGAGATGTACTTGCACAGTGCGATGTCCCAAAGTATAATAATTACCTCATTACACAAAATCGATAGGTAAAGAGGAGTGAGGAAGTGAATCGTAGATTCGCTCGTAGCCTCAGTAAGTGAAGGATCCTAGTCTATAAATCTTAATTTCACAGAAGTCGCTCTCTGAACTGCGTATCTATGTGATTTTTTCCCGGGCTACTATTGGATGTGCTAGACATTTGGCATCTCCAGGACTTCTTGGTGGCTCAATACTTGTAAGGCTGCGCTAGAAAAGATTACCTATCGTTAGGCATGTGGGCCTAACCACATCTAAATTAACAGAATATCCCAGACTTCACTCATGTGTTAAGTGGTGCAAAGTCCGACAGTCCAGAGAACCCACAACATACGGGCCGTAGCGCAGTTACTCCCTAACTTCCGCCACCTCGCGCCCGAACCAATAAAGCTCCTACTTTGTTTGTTTGATTCAATACTCTCGTCCACATCTTTAACACATCCAGAAACCATCTTTTCTCTATCAGAAATTGTTATTTTCGTCAGAAAATCTCATCTGATCCCCTACCGATGTCTCCGCTGTTTTTTGGGCACTGATGCGCTTCTAAAACCTACTAGATTATAGGTAAATTCAAAACTATAACCCGCCAGCTCTGGACTTTCTACCTATCGTAACTGTAGCCCTAAATATCAAAAACAACTGCAGAAGTAAGGGCTCGAGATTAGGGTAACGAATCTCCAAACTCTGAAGAAAGCTCTATTTAATACGGCGGCGAATGGTCGCACCTTATTCTTCAGAGGCCGAATTGATGGTGCCCTTGGCTGAGATGTATACGTTTTTGAGATTGATTTTCCCAACATGTCTCTGCAACACACGACAAATTTTTAGAGTGGAATATTATCTCGTGTAAGTGGTGGTGACAGTGGGCTAGACATTTGAAAAGTATCGATAGAGGACGAAATCATTTTGGCGAGCCCTAGGAGTGACTTGGCTAGTGAAGGGCTCTGACAAAGAGTAAAAACATTGAGAGTTGTCAGATGCACGTAGATGAGCTATATAATAGCCTGGGTTCACCTACGATCCTTATTTGGCATCAAATTACCCAAAGTTATTGAGTTGTACGGTCATAGAATCTCGGAGATTCGGTGTTCCCATCGAGATCTGAGCACAACCTCTTCAATTCTTCACCTCACCGGAGCCCTTAAATCTTACCTTCTCACTGGCCTAATGTTTCCTAAAGAAATTACCAAGCTCAATGTTCAATTGTATACCATGAAAGAATATTTAGCATTCATTCTATAATTGATGATTCTTTATCTGTATATAAGTGATATTTATCGTTCCGTAAAAGTGAAGCAGAGGTAAATTCCTGTAACTTTGAACTGTAATTTGAATAAAGGCTATCAAGGGTATTTATGGTCAAAAAACACGCTTATAAATCCATGTTTAGCCCATTCTGACAATCCATAAATTTGTATCACGGTTATCTGTTGATGCTCATTTGAGTGTGATCGGGGCCTTGATTACCTCTGAGCAAGTTGTATATGACCTCAATACTAGCATAATACTAATATTATGATTACCATATGGCCTATTTGCTATCACTTATAAGTATTGTCAGGTAACATCACTCCAAGGTCTAGTGCCATACTTAATCTTGTTAGCCGATTTGCCTGCTTAATTCGTTCCATTCTGATCTTCAAATGATAGCCTTTAGTGAATTAGTCTTGACTGCATGTCATATAATGGACGATAATTGCGATGAGGGCCAGCCGGAAATCATTGCGTTAGGCGCAGGAAATTAGATGTGTCTCAACGTGTCCCGATAAAACCCCTATCCCCTACACTGATGAACAATCCTTCCTTTAAGCGGAAATTGACTCCAGCTAAACTAAACATTTACGCGAAGAGGGCTCTATATTCCCTGTTACTATCGCTAACGTATCAAAGCCTACATACCAATTCATGTTCATACATAAGTCTAAATTCCATATTATCTATTACCCAACACTCATTTGCGCTGCCCTCACTCGTTGAGATCTTTCCAAATATCTTTAGCAGACCCTATTTGATCTAAATCGGGAGCCCTGGTGTTTCAGCTCGATAAAGAAAAGCAAAAGACTCAATAGCTAAAAGCTTATTATTACGACAATCTACATCGATATACTTCCAGATAACTATACATTTTTAGGTTCTTATCCTCGCTATTACGAACTGCTGAATTCTGATGAGCTCGCCATCAGAGAACCGCGTCTGAAGTAAATCCTAAAACCATCATGAGGAACTCCTACTTGTCGCTCTACTTGGCGACAATAGCTTCTCTTATCGGACTTTCCTTGGCCTGGCCTGCTTGGTTTCCAGAACTAGACTTGCTTCTTGCACGACAGCTTAATGGAAATGACAATAGTAAGATGTCATGTACGAGACTTCAGTTTCTTCGACTAATATGCGAATAGATTTTCCAGTAACACAAACATCAAATAATAATCAACCGATAGCTACACAAACAGATGCAAGCGATAAACCTGCAGGCACGAAAGATATGCCAGCAACCTTAACCCAGTCAGGAGATGCTTCCATAATAACTGGCGGTACGCTCACTGCAAGTGGAACTGGAAATGGGAATGGGGATAACACAGACTCCGAGACAGCTTCTGGAACTACGTCTTTTGATAATCGTATTCCTGCAGGAGGCATATCGATGATCACACCTGCTGTAACACTAGGCCAGCAATATTTCAAAATTGGCGACTATGTAACTTTCGGTTGGAATTACACTTCTCTTGAGGCGACACCTTCTGCTGTTAATATTATGGCCACATGTACAGCCAATAAACAGCTTTATACCATTCAAATGAACCAAACTGTAGCTAATAATACGGGAAAAGTTGTTTGGGACACCGGTAGCTACCAGGCCACAGCCGTGCAAAATCCACTCCTGACACAGACCTATACTCTAATAATATTTGATTCAGAAAGCAGTATAAGTGCAACTGCGCAACCAGGATATCTTGCTGTATACAGTCAATATACTTTTGGAATGTACTCACCACAATCTTATACACCCTTAGGCGACTTTAAGTGTGTAACTTGCAGCAATGGACTTAGCGATATTGAACGAAAGACCCTCGGAGTAATAGTTGGGACAAGTCTTATTACCTTGATAAGCTTCACATGGTTTGTGAGAGGGTTCGGAATCATCTGGTAAATTTACGAAAAGATCAAAACATTCACGCTCGGAACGCTGTCATTTGCAACGCTCACTAATGGTTAATTGAGGGTCTAATTATTGGGATAGGTGTTATTTGGGTAGCGATAATATAATATAGATCTAAAAAGGCGATATCTTAAATATTTATTCCTATATTTATTACTACTGGCTCTAGTTCCGACGCAAATCATGGATGCAATGGATCCTGCTTGCTCTAGACTAGAACATGTGTGATTGTAAGATTCACTCTAATAATATGTAAAAGAAAAAGGGTTACGAGGGCATGAGTAGCACTGAATTCAAATGTTCCGCAGTAAATCTAGCAACGATGACGAGTCAAAACAGACAACCAAATATTTTGCCACCTCCACATTTTATCGTTTATCATCAGGCTCAAACAGCCCACCTATTTGCTCCACTGGCCACCAATGTAGTCCGAGCTCGAACTTTGATAGGCAAGTGTGGAATTTCCCTAGTAGTTATTTGCTAACGGTGTGCACTATTGATAGAAGTTTGACGGCTAGACAATTGAACTAGGTGTGAGTTAAAGAGAGAGTTGGGGCCGCCAGCAAAACATCGCCTCACCAAGTAGATCTCCTTTTTCCACCGGATGGTAGTGTTGTAGCTATCAGGCTTGCAGGACAGGATACTGCTGTTCTTTCAGTATTTCTGAGATCGGAAATTCCACTTCCAGCAGCGAAAGTGGTATTCTGCATGAAACTGGACCTTGGCAAGTACTTTGCTCGCCTGCTTAGGTAAGGCAAGCCGACTTAAAGTGAAGGATTCATTGGTGAGCTCTAATCATGGAGACAACGATCCAGCTTTCTGGAATTAGTTGCCATGCTGGTAGACCCCTTGACTTTTCCATGTCTTCGCATCTCGCGAGAGATGTCGAGGAATGGTAGCCTATCGAGACGCAGGCGTGTCTATGGCGGAAGGCACTAGAGTCTCAAGTTGACAATGATCACAGCTATCGCTTCATAAGGGCTGCAGGCTAGGTCGAGTGGTTCTTGTTCCATGATATCCTGCGGCAACTGTGGGTATGTGATGAGCGGTTTTCCGTGGCTATTGCCTGCATGGCGATTCGCGCTCAGGCGATGGGGAAGGGTTCCGATGTGACGAATAGGTTACACCCATTACCGTCCCGGGTACTAGCCTTCTCCGTCCGCGTCTTTCTTCCGGCTCTTTGAAGGCAAATGAGATGGATCGTCACGGCTAGCAATGGCGTGGCTGGGTCTCATGATACTGCGGTTTGAAATCTGGCTCCATCTTCCCCGCAGACTGGGCGTGGTAGGATGATCTAGCGCAAGGGAGACGGGAGATGGCCGCTTCGAAACCAGAAAAGGTCCGACCGCTCATCGCGCACGTCTCGGGTGGAAGCTGACGATGCAAAAATGTTTGGATGGTCATGGCGTTCGCCGTCTCCCTTTGGCGGGTAACCACGGTTAGAGTGCGCACTCCTAGAGCTGGTCGTAGATGCTCTTAGCGTTGGCTAATTCTACGTAAGGCGACCATTGAGGGATCAATTGAAATCTGTGGCAAACCATCGGGGAGGGAGTTAGCCCCTGATACATGGCATTCCGCAGTGAGGGCTACGATGCCATACACTGTGAGTGGCTTGAGCCGGTTATGGTCAAAATATTCAAAATTCTACTTACAAGGTATCGTCACTCCTGCACAATTTTGGAAATGCCTCAATTGCAAAGTTGCTTTTTTGCCGGCTTCCCCGGCCGCCGTGTGTCCACAAGCAATCACTGTTCGATGGTTGGGGAGAGGGGAGAGGAAAGATATTGGAATGATTAGATTAGATCTATATTATAATGCCTACTGAGGCTAAGACTAGGGAGGAAACATAGTGGAGTGAAAATAGCTCCAACATGCGTCATCATCAAATGAAGAGTAGTGAGAGATGTACCAGTTGAACGAGAGGCGAAAAGGGACGGCAATGACCGAACGCTTGTGCGCCGTCTCATCTACGAACCTGGGTATGAAATATTCTCCCAGAGCCAAGTTCAGTCAAATTTCGCAACATCAAAGAAGTTGGCCCACGAGGCAATCATTCAAAATACACCACCACGTCGATTTTTCACTCCCAACGAAATCGACTCCTACCTAAGCCCTATCAAGTCTACAAGTACGACCTAGTACACCCTCATCCCAATGACCACACCTCTCGTCGACTTTCTCTGGCCTCAGTTGACCACCAAATACGCGCCCACGCTGATATTTATACCCGCAAGAGTAAGCAGAACGTGGCGCATAAACCTGGGAGACAGTTCTTTGGGATAGACGTGAGAAGGATCAGAGCAGGTTTGCAAGATGATGCAGAGGATGGACAACATGTTGACGGAGGTGAAACTTTGAATGTTGACAGGGAGTTTCGTGTATTGAAGAGTATTATGCGCGCCAGCCAATCGATTGCGAGAGTGCAACTGACACTATAAACACAAGCCAACGATGGAAGGTGCCGTGGTGCGCATCCCGATGGTGTTCTCTAGCAGAGTGTGAGTAGCCTGGGAACCTACTCCACTTGGGAAGGAGACTCTTCAAACCACAATTCGCGCGGAGACAAGTCAACAGGCTATGGAGGCATGTCTGGATAACTCAGAGTTTTCACGGATGAAGGTTGATTTGGAGCGAAGAAAGAGCCACCAGAACTTCGTAGTGGTACTCGCAAATGAAATCCGAGGCGTGAGTGCTCCTCTTTTACATCGAGTCATCTTTTCTGTATTATTCCTCCGATATTGTGTTATAGCTAGATAGCTGCATGCCTAACTTAAATATGATGCAAAATAAAGTGAGAGTCGAAGAGAAGGCGCTCTCATTTCTTAAGGTTAAAGTCATTAGATTGAAATAAGAGGTCTAATCTGGTGATTGAGATTGTCGATAAAGAGGAAAGGTGACGCCTAATTAGTCTTGTGAACACATTTTATTTATTTTTATGTCTACCGGGCACTAGTTACAACTAAAGTCCCATCCCAGAGGGGACATGGTGACTGCTATGTACTACAAGATGTGATGTGCAGTGGCATAGGCCATGAAAGTACATATAGAGACTGCGAGCGCTATGCAGCGGGTACCTCACAGGAATAGCCCATATGTTACGGAGTGGGCAGACTTCTGACAGGAACTTAACCTTCTTCAATATGGTGGCGAAACGCTTAGCTCCTGTGGAGGTGCTCTGGAGAAAACCGAATGAGCCCATACTTCGTCGATGGCCGGCCGAAGCCCTAATAAATGTATAAACACCGTAAATCGCACATCAGACGCGTGATAGCACGTGGCTATATGATCCCCAAATTCACTCCATCTCTTGACATATGGTCCCGTTTTTGGAATTGACACGGAGTTGGGTAAGGCATCGCGTATGGCTCAAGGCCACAGCATACATCACTAGTGTACCGGTTAGGCGAGCATGTATATAGTTTCATAGATGTACCCACGATAACTGGACACAGGTTTAGCCTAACACTTTCTGTCCAAGTACCTACAGCACAGTATTATATGAGTCTATTCACTGTCACCCACTGAATATAACATCATCCACTACTCATCACTCCGCAATATGACTTCCGCATAGCTCATAACCACAATACCATTCTTCTCTTAGAAGAGAGAAAGCTCTAAAGGCTGTACTTTATTTGATGATGGAAATATAATGAAAAATTTGAAAAATGGCAAAACACTATTGGAAGCAAAGTTTGATGGGCATCTGCCTTATATAATCGAAACTGAAGATTTTTCCTGCTTGATTTATGAATTCTGGCACGAAGCTTTGCGTCATTCAGCTCCATCTTCAATCACTAAGACTAATAAACTTATACTAGATCCCAAAACTATCCCCCATGTCCAGAATATTTCAAGTGTGAAGCCTGCATAATTGCCAAGTCCAATCGCAACAAACCTAAACCAGCTTGAACAAGGACAAAAACCAAAGGAGAATAGATACATTCTGACTTGTGTGGACCATTATCAGTACCTTCTTATGGAGGCGCTCTATATTACATCAGTTTCATTGACGATGCAACTCGGCTTTCTTCAGTTCAATTTCTAAAACTCAAATCAGAAGCTTCTCAGCCAATCATTGATTACATCTCAACAATGGAAACCCAACATGATGTCAAAATTAAACGTTTCTGAACTGATAACGGCGGGGAATATCTGAATGAGAGATTGAGTAGATTCCTTTCTCTGAGGGGGATAGAACATGGTCTCACTCCACCGTATTCCCCAGAATCTAATGGAATCGTTGAAAGGTTAAATCAGTCAATTAGTGAAGGTATACACGCAATGCTTCTACCAATTAAAAACAAAATATTATGGGTAGAAGCGGTAAATACATTTATTCATGTAAAAAATTGTCCAGTCTCACAGCGCAGTCAATGGGATGACTCCGCACAAGACATTCTACAGCGAAAAGCCCTCACTATCTTACCTCCAACCCTTCAGCCGAGAATGCTATATAAATATCCCTAAAGAGAAGCGTGGTACTGGAAATAAACTTCTCCCAAGAGCAGAAAAAGGTATATTTGTCAGATACACTAGATATGATCATCATTATCGAATATCTATTCAAGAAAGAAAGCATACTTACGTGTCAGAAAATGTTGAGTTTTTACCATTCACTTCGGAACAACCTATCATGAACTCAACGGCTACATTTCAAGAACATAACTGTTCAAGTCTACCCGATGTATCTTTAGAGACCGATGTAGAATCTATCCCTTTCAATGGGCTTCCCGCACGAGAGAACTCAGAGAGGCCCGCTATCCAAAATAATGATAATGAACTTGTAAGCCCTAATAGTTTTCGGCAGCCTCATCCTCCATGAATTCCTCGTCAAATTTTCAATATGAAAGGTTGCCTCATCGAACAAGTCCTCGTAATTCTGACAAAAATCAGATCAATTATCGAACAACTCATTCTGGCCGTCAAGTTCGACTTCGGTTATCTAATGACACTATAACAGGTGATTAGTGGAATGCATCAAATAAAAT